CTTGCGTGCCTGTATTAATCATCTCCAGTTTTACAATGAATTTTCTTCACAAAAGGTATACCTTCAGCGTCTCTCATGGCTTAAAATTTCTAATGCGTTTTGCGCTGTGTAACATTAGCACAAAGTCGTATTGTCACGCCTCTGTCTGTGTACATGTGTGTGTGTGTGCTGTGCGTCCGAGTGCATTTTGCCGAACAGCTTCAAATCAGGAATCCCGAAAGGCTAGGAAGTTAAAATTTTGATAGAATGTTCTCCACCTACGTGCGACCTGCAAATTTAAATTCGGCCTTCACGTACTCCTGGGTGCCACGTACGGCTTCGGGAAAGTTTCGGCAAAAAAATTATTATCTTGGGAGCCACGAAAGCAGAAATTTTAGGTTAATGTCCTCTTCTCACACACGACCCCTCAAATTCAATTTAAACTTTCACATAGACTTGGGTCTCACGTACGACTCCGTGAGAGTTTTAGCGGGAAAAATTATCTCGGGAACTCGAAGAATTGAAGGTTGAAGACTTCAGGAGGATGCCTTCTACCGCAAGTTTAGCTTCTAAGTATGACACAGTTTCATACATGATCAAGTAAAAGTTTTGGCACGAAAGCTGGTCAGAAGTCAGAGAACTACGAGGTCAAAATTTTTAAAACGATGTTCACCGCCAGGGTTTCAAATTCGGCTGCTACGTGTCAAGTACCGGCACATGAAATTTTTAATGGGAAATTTTTCAGCTTAGAAAACAAACAGAAAAACAGTGAAAATCTCTAGCAGGCAAACGCCCACTGAACGGAGCTGCGCAAGACGCATGATCGCACCGGTTACCTTGATGCGCGGCGCTGTTTATGCATATTTAGGTGCTGGAGAAACAGTGGGAAAGTGATGATAAAATACTGATCACGCATAAAAAACATTTTTCAATTCCATACAATGTTACGGTGCGGAGCGACCATTCTTACGAACAAGTTTCGAGTGTAGTGCAAACCGAAAGGTATGTATTTTTTATGCGTTTTTTGCAGCTATGCTATGCAGAAAACGCATATTGACGAGGGGTTGTCTGTGTGTCCATGTGTCTGTGTA